CAATAAAACAAACGTTTTCGGACCACACAGTCCATCATTAGGTTATTAAAATCGAAAATGCTAGGTCACAATGCCTGAGCCACCAAAATATTAGGGTAAAAACCCTTTAAATTACATTAAGTTATAAAATATTGTACATTGTGTTATAAAATAACGGTGATGTTCAGTATTAAATTAATTTGACTGTAGGTAACACATGGCTCAATTGGGTTCCAGAGCCGGTGAGAGGGAACCTCTGCACTCGGAGAACAACGTGGAACTCTGGAGTCTCTCTGGAAACTCTTCCAACGTGGAGTTCCACGTTGTTCTCCGAGTGCAGAGGTTCCCTCTCACCGGCTCTGGAACCCAATTGAGCCATGTGTTACCTACAGTCAAATTTAATTTAATACTGAACATCACAGTTATTTTATAACACAATGTACAATATTTCATAACTAAATGTAATTTAAAGGGTTTTTACCCTAATATTTTGGTGGCTCAGGCATTGTGACCTAGCATTTTCGATTTTAATAACCTGATGATGGACTGTGTGGTCCGAAAACGTTTGTTTTATTGATGTGGCCCTTTTAAGGGTTTTTTTAAATAAATATACCCATTTACAAAGATTAACCTCTTTTTGTTATACGTGGTATACAGCCAGCTACAGGAATTTTTCCTTGTGGATTCCCAATACCGACCTACGGATGTGAATCTTGGACTCTGAGACAATCGGAGAGAAGAAAGATAGACGCCACTGAATGTTCTGTTGGAGACGAATGTTACGAATTCCTTGGACCGACCGCAGAACAAATAATTCAATTTTAAAGGAGCTAAAAGTTAGCCACCGACTCTCTAGTAAAGTCCATCTCCAACAATTAAAATATTTTGGGCATGTTATGGGAGCAAACACAGAAAACATGGAAAGACTCATAATACAAGGAAAGGTAGAAGGCCTAAGATCACGAGGAAGATCCCCAACAAGATGGATAGATCAAATTACAGGAATATGCCAAAGACCTATGCATGAATTAAAAGAAATGACCAGAGACAGAGATCTCTGGAGACGGACAATACACGACATCACGTCGACCACTACACTCCCCCTGGGGGGTCAGGATTGAAGAGAGAGATCATGCGGTATCGTAGGGACAAATCAAGATTACGGGTAGTGAGTAACTGTCGTATCTTTAAGAAGGTGTTTTTTGCCTGTTCTATTCTACAGTTAACCTCTTGTTCTTGGTCTAAGGTTTCATGTATCCAACAGCCTAGATACTTAAACTTTTTCACTTGTTCAACTAGATTGTTGTTGACTAGTATGTTTATAACTGGTGTGTGTTTTTTTGAAATTACCATTGTTTTGGTTTTTTTACATTCACCTTAAGGCCGTATAGTTCTCGTTTTCGCACTACTTTGGTTAACAGAATTTGTAGTTCTTCTTCACTGCCAGCAATCAGTACTGTATTATCGGTATACCTGATATTGTTCACGATTTTTCCATTGACTTTTATTCCTTCTTGTGCTTCATCTAGAGCATCTGCAAAGATGTCCTCTGAGTACAAGTTGAATAATAATGATGATAGTATACAACCTTGTCTAACTCCTCTTTGGATATTTATGGTTTCAGTATCATCCATTTCAGCCCTGAAAGAGGCGTTTTGGTTCCAGTAGACTTCACGTATTGTATTAATGTCGTTTGGATCCAGGTTCTTTTTTTGCAAGCATTCTATTAGCTGATCGTGTTTGGCTTTATCAAAAGCCTTTTCATAATCTATAAAGCACAAGTAGACATCTTTTTGTTGATTACAAGTGAGGCTGCAAGAGACCCATCAGATACTTGTAAGTGGCCAAACCATTAGAGATGGTGTAGGGGAAAATACTCGAAGATCTATGAGAGTGATTGTGTTATTCAAATAAAATCGCACTCATCGACTTTAGTGAGCACAAGAACACGCAAATTGGGTGAGACGTGAGTAGACCTCTACTTTATTCACAGATGAGTTGCGATATGGATTTGAACCAGATATAAGACAGACTAGAATGTGGAGATGATCTGTGAATGCTGAACAATTAGCCACCGTAGATACAGGAGGTTCATAAATAGCAAGGCGGCAGTATAATGGTACGGGGAGACATCACTCTTGGTGAAAGAACCAATTTTTTTTGTCTGGAATGGCCTATAAATGCAACAGACTATTGCGATATAATTCTCGAACCCCATTATTGTACTCCCAATTAACAGAAGGTCAACTCTACGTCAACTATTCCCTGTAAAAAGAGTGATGCACTACAAATACTTGTCATCATAATAAATGAAGAATGGTCCAACAACCAGGAGATTATAGGACGCACTGAAAAAGCTAGATGATTCAACTTCAATCGGATGGGGCCTCCTTCAAAAGTCACATCTCTCTCTTGATACAAAAGTAAGAATGCTACTATGCTACGTTTTCTCTGTCTTTTTTTAAGGTGTTGAATCGTGGACCTTGAACAAAAGATATGTGTTGAGATGTGGCTATATCGTAGAATACTTAACATCCCGTGGACTGACCGAGTCACAAACGAGGAGTTCCTCAAAAGGATGAATAAGATTCGAGAGGTACAGACCACCATCAAATCTCGAAAGTTACAATTCGTCGGACATATTATGCGAAATGAATCCAGATATGCTCTCCTTCAAGCCATCACGCAAGAAAAAATATTTGGAAAACGAGGTCCAGGAAGAAGAAAAACATCTTGGTTAAAGAACCTCAGAATCTGATTTAATACAACATATGTGCAGCTTTTTCGCGCTGCTGCAGATAAGATGAAGATTGCTACGATGGTCCCCAACATTCGTAACGAATAAGCACATCAATAAGAAGAAAAAAGCCAATTGAGCATGTATGGGATATTTTGGGGAGACGAGGTCCAGGAACAAGAAGAACATCTTGGTTAAAGATCTTGAAAATTAAGTGAGGATTTTCTCTGGTACATTGAAATAATAAACGCCATGTTTTGTTCGAAAGCAACGACTTCAGATTTATTTCAATAAACAATAGTGTTTACAAAAGTTAAACAAAGATGGTGCTACATGTATTAAAATACCTTTTTTGGTACATCACAACACCCTCACTTATCAAAAAAATATCTAAACTTTCAAACCCAAACCTAGCCTAAATTTAGAATTTTTAACATTTTTCAACCCTTTAGTAAGGATGTTATCCAACATTTCATCAGTACTCAAATACTTCAACTCAATAACAATATTTTGGATAGCCTCTCTGATGAAATGGTGGCGAATGTCAATATGTTTTGTTTTTTCATGAAATACTGGATTTATGCACAACTTCTGAGCCCGTTGATTGTCATTACACAAAACAACTGAATCCAGTCTTCCTTAAATTTCCGACAACAAATTCCTCAAGTAAATGGCTTCCTTAGTCTTCTTCTTTCAGTGCCTATTCGTTCCGAATATTGGCAATCATTCTGGCTATAATTATTTTATTAACTGCTGCTTTAAATAAATTCGTTGTTGTTGTGGAGAACCATTTCCTCAGGTTCTTCAACCATGATATTCTCCTTCTCCCAATTCCTCGCTTTCCGAGGAATTGGGAGAAGGAGAATATCATGGTTGAAGAACCTTCCTTAGTAGCCTCCCCTAAAGCTACATACTCCGTTTCAGTGCTAGAAAGAGCCACTGATTTCTGTTAACATTCTTGCAAAAAATCGCACCACCCGAAAGTTTAAAAATAAAACCTGTGTAAGATATTCGATCTAACTTATTTGAGGCTCAATCAGCATCAACAAACCGCTAAATCCAAATCATCCCTTTTATAATTCAAACAAATGTCTTTAATCCCCTTCAAATACCTCAATATCTTTTTAGCACATTTCCAGTGATAGTCATTATGACCTTCATTAAATTGACTCAAAAAAATTACACTATATGCAACATCTTGTCTTGTCAAAACTGCTAAAAACATTATTAAAATCTTTAACATCTTTACGCCATACATCGAGTGTTTACAAAAGTTATACAAAGATGGCGATACATGTATTAAAATACTTTTTTTGATACATCACAACGAAAGAACCTCAGAATCTGATTAAATACAACATCTGTGCAGCTTTTTCGCGCTGCTGTAAATAAGATAAAGATTGCTACGATGGTCCCCAACATTCGTAACGGATAGGCACATCAATAAGAAGAAGAAACCTATTTGAGCATGTATGGGATATTTGGGAAGACGCACTTTACCACAAAATATTGCGTTCAATACAAGACAGCAACTGTTTGAGGACATACCAATGGAGTTGAACAGAATACCGCAGCAAGACATTGGCCATCTTATTATAAGTTTGCCTTACAGATGTTGGACAGTAATCAACAACCTTGGAGGTTATACACTATACTACACTATACTAAATTAACCTACAGACTACTTTGTTGAATTTGAGGGGAACAAATTGTTTTTTTTAATTTTTTGTTACTATTATGAGTTCTCTTTTAATTTTCTTAAGAGGTATTGCGATAATTCTAAAGAAAAATGTTTATTTATATTCGGGACACTTGTCTATAACTTTTTATTAAAAATATTTGAAATAAATTATTTGAAATCCTTCTGTAATCACATATTTTGTTTTTGTCTCTTAGATTATTTTGATGTGTGTATATGGGCGTATATCTTTTTTTCTGGCTTGCATATTTGCCTAGCCTTGCTTAGTATTTTCACAGAAACCGAAAAGATATGCAATGAAAAAGTTTATGACCTTGGGACAAGAAAACAATGTTATAATCAGAAACATTTAGATGTCGGTAAAACAGTTTCAAAGTCCAAGTGTTACAAGGAATCAAAACAGAATTTGTGTTAAATTACATAAAAGGTATATCAATAAAATACGTACTCTATGATTAAAATAAAACTTAAGTGCTATAGATAAACAAAATAATATTAATATTTACAATGGTATTTAAACTAAAAAATCGCACATTTTTATTAACGAAAATGTTAATAAAACTATGGCTACAAATTTTTACTGACCTGGATAACTTGGTAAACGCACTTAATCAACTACAACTAAAACAGTTTTAGATTCTACATCACATACACCCAAAATAATAAACAACACCAACACATAATTTACAACAAATGTAGTGTTATTGTTGCTGCAATATTACAGTATAAACCAAAATAATTTGAATAATTGGTAAAATTGCGTTTCAGAGTGGTCAGCGCCATCTATCATCGAGTAGAATTAAATATTTATAGAGGATTTCTTCTAGTGAATGACTTTATTTTTAGAATATTTTTCAATAGAACACTGTGATATTAAGGTTATAAAATCGGTTTCTGCTTACTAAGAAGCTAAAATTGCAGATTTCTGATACAAATGTGAATTGAAGAGGTCGTTGTAGTAATAGTCCACGTGCATTTAATAGTTTTGAAAAAAATTTAATCTTATATTTATAGATAATTTTATTTAATAAGGTTATAATAGTTGGGAATCTATTTTACTAAATTGTAGTAATATTTTTGTCATTTTTTATTGCATATATCAAGTCTGTTTATTAAAAATGCACATACTCGTTGCAACCAAACTTCAGTCAAGTTACAACTTGAAGAAAACTGTGGAAATAAAATAGGACTTTTGTCTTTATTGCATATTCTATTACTTTATTGGAATATGAATATTATTGTGAATATAATAGAAACACAGTTGCTCATTTGTATTTTAGATTGTACATTATTCAAACTTCGTTATAAATTCTTATAAAAAACTAAGAGAAGAAAATATTGATATTTATAATTTTTGTACTTTCTTAAGCCCTTGGTTATTTTTTACATTATTAATTTAATTTTCCGAGCCGGGAATCCATTTCTAAAGATGTTTAGAGCGGCGTTCTAGACATTTTGTTTAGCTGTTATGCTTCTTGTCCATACAGTACGATACTTTTAAATATTAAGTTAATTAGAAGTTGAAAGAAATGAAAAGAGTAAGAAAACTGTGAAATCTTTATACTAGGAGATTTAAACGGCAGAGTATGCAATTCACTGGAATTGCATAATGTTACATGCTTTATTAATTGATCTTAATCGTATGATGGAGCGAACTTGTCAAGTAACTCTATTAGCTCTATTGAAATTAGTTGTGTTTTAAATGATAATTTTTGTTAGCCATTTTATATAACAAATATCCTTATTTTATTAAGCGGTGTATTTGTATTGATTGTATTTATACAGATGATCCATGATGTTTTTTGTTTTTTCGTGAAAATATCTTTGCATTTAGCTTGGATCTGTTTAGATTTTAGATATATTTTAATATTTGAGACAATATTATACTCTCGAAAAGTTTTTTTTTTGACAAGATTAAATTTTTTTATTTGTCTTCCAACAATAGAGAAAGACCGAATTTAGGTTAAAATGATTTTTGAGTAATCATAGCTAAAGCTTCGCTAATAGTTTTTATTTAAGTTAATAAAATTTTTCCAAATACGTACTATCTGTAGAATAAGCGTCGGAAGGCATTTTTCTAAGTAATTTTCAAATATAGATCTCTTTTATTTCAATTTTTTTTTGAATAATTTTGTCTCAAGCAAATTTTATAACTTTGAAGTCCTTGGTTTAAATATGTTAATAAATAAAACACAAATCAACGGTTTATCATTTATTTTTAAAAACAAACAGTTTAAAAGCCAATCTCTTCATCCCTATTTATCAAACTTCAGTCCATACATAAATCTTAACTTAATGTAATAAAACATTTTATACAATCAGCAAAACATAAAAATCTTGAGACCAAAAACTTATTCCCATTACTTTAAGAAAACATAAATTAAGATATATCATAAAAACTGAATGAATGCTAGAAATATCTTGCATATATTCAAAAAATTATACCTTAAAACATATTAGTAATTTACTTTCAAATTGCATTTCAAAGTTTTACGTTTAAAAAAACCAACGTAAAAAGTATTCTTCTAATCCAACTACTATAGGCTCACCTCAAGCTATGCACTTTCTGCAACATTCAACAATAAGTAGAGCAAGCGATTATCAAGTGTCCATTGTATCAAAGAAAAACAATACAACATTTTTCTTAATATACTATAAAATACCTCTCTAAGCGCGGGGAGATCCTGTGGTGGAATGTTCTTTATGGCAGTAATGATGACTAATGACGTTCTGTAAAGTCAGAACAACCAATTAAAGGTCAACCAAGCCTCAATTCGGAGTATCTTAAGACAGTCACCCCTTATTACATTTTTTCCAGATACCATCAGGAATCAAAGACAGCATCAAAGAAAGAAAAAAAATCAGAAACAGGAAACATCAGTAAGAACTTAATTTTGGTTTAAAAAAAAACTAATCAGAACCAGAATAAAGATCAGCATGCAAGCTTGAGCATTGGAGAAGAAAAAAAGTATAAGCACCCATTGAATTAAGGCATCAACCCAAAAGAAGCTGAACAGCAACCGCAGAATAGTATAGAATAGATGATAACAGAACAAAACATAATAGAACGGAATAAATAAGAATAGAACAGAATAGAACATAATGGAACAAAATAGAACAAAATAGAGCATAATAGAACAATAGAACAGAATGGAACAGAATAGAACAGAATAGAACTAGAATAGAACAGAATAGAACAGAATAGAACAGAATAGAACAGAATAGAACAGAATAGAACAGAATAGAACAGAATAGAACAGAATAGAACAAATAGAACAGATAGAACAGAATAGAACAGATAGAACAGAATAGAACAGAATAGAACAGAATAGAACAGAATAGAACAGAATAGAACAGAATAGAACAGAATAGAACAGAATAGAAGAAAATAGAACAGAATAGAACAGAATAGAACAGAATAGAACAGAATAGAACAGAATAGAACAGAATAGAACAGAATAGAACAATAGAACAGAATAGAACAGAATAGAACAGAATAGAATAGAACAGAATAGAACAGAATAGAACAGAATAGAACAGAATAGAACAGAATAGAACAGAATAGAACAGAATAGAACAGAATAACAGAATAGAACAGAATAGAAAAGAATAGAACAGAATAGAACAGAATAGAACAGAATAGAACAGAATAGAACAGAATAGAACAGAATAGAACAGAATAGAACAGAATAGAACAGAATAGAACAGAATAGAACAGAATAGAACAGAATAGAACAGAATAGAACAGAATAGAACAGAATAGAACAGAATAGAACAGAATAGAACAGAATAGAACAGAATAGAACAGAATAGAACAGAATAGAACAGAATAGAACAGAATAGAACAGAATAGAACAGAATAGAAAAGAATAGAACAGAATAGAACAGAATAGAACAGAATAGAACAGAATAGAACAGAATAGAACAGAATAGAACAGAATAGAACATATAGACAAATAAAGAATAGAACAGAATAGAACAGAATAGAACAAATAAACGAATAGAACAGAATAGAACAGAATAGAACAGAATAGAACAGAATAGAACAGAATAGAACAAATAGAAATAGAACAGAATAGAACAGAATAGAACAGAATAGAACAGAATAGAACAGAATAGAACAGAATAGAACAGAATAGAACAGAATAGAACAGAATAGAACAGAATAGAACAGAATAACAGAATAGAATAACAGAATAGAACAGAATAGAACAGAATAGAACAGAATAGAACAGAATAGAACAGAATAGAACAAATAGAAAATAGAACAGAATAGAACAGAATAGAACAGAATAGAACAGAATAGAACAGAATAGAACAGAATAGAACAGAATAGAACAGAATAGAACAGAATAGAACAGAATAGAACAGAATAGAACAGAATAGAACAGAATAGAACAGAATAGAACAGAATAGAACAGAATAGAACAGAATAGAACAGAATAGAACAGAATAGAACAGAATAGAACAGAATAGAACAGAATAGAACAGAATAGAACAGAATAGAACAGAATAGAACAGAATAGAACAGAATAGAACAGAATAGAACAGAATAGAACAGAATAGAACAGAATAGAACAGAATAGAACAGAATAGAACAGAATAGAACAGAATAGAACAGAATAGAAACAGAATAGAACAGAATAGAACAGAATAGAACAGAATAGAACAGAATAGAACAGAATAGAACAGAATAGAACAAATAGAACAGAATAGAACAGAATAGAACAGAATAGAACAGAATAGAACAGAATAGAACAGAATAGAACAGAATAGAATAGAATAGAACAGATAGAACAGAATAGAACAGATAAATAGAATAAAAAGAATAGAACAGAATAGAAGAGAATAGATCAGAATAGAACAGAAAGAACAGAATAGAACAGAATAGAATAGAATAGAACAGAATAGAACAGAATAGAACAGAATAGAAGAGAAAAGAACAGAATAGAACAGAATAGAACAGAATAGAACAGAATAGATAAAAGACTAGAACAGAATAGAACAGAATGAACAGAAGAAAACATGAGTACAGAATATATATGAATAGAACAGAATTGAACAGAATAGAATAAGTAGAACAGAATAGAACAGAACAGAATAGGTCAGTAAGAACAAAATAGAAACAGTATAGACCAGAATGTATTAGAATGGAGAAGAACACAACAGAACAGAGTAAAATATGATATCATTGATAAAAAGTAACAGAAAAGGATGGAATAGTTTCAATAAATAATAAAAAGAGATTAATAATAAAAAAATTAAATAAAATTGTACTTATTTAAGTAAATAATATCGTACTTCTCAAACAAAGAGATGTAGCATGTTCTAAACTATTTAAAAAAATCTACTTGCATAAGGTTTGTTGCCAAAAATGGACTAACTATAAATAAATTTATTTCGATCGCTTTAAAAGTTGAATGAGCACTACTAACAACACAATTAAATTTTACAACTTGATCGTACCAAGATTTTTACGCAAAAAACAGTAAAAGTATGAGGTTCGGGGTAATTTGTATGCAAAATTATTTGTTGTTACGCGACCAGTTTTTATGTACAAATTGCATCAATACGATATTTCTAGATTTCAACATGTAAGAAAGTTTTTTCTGCATGGATTAAAGGAATTCATATTATAAAATTGCGATCGTTGGAAATTTTCTGGTAAATAATACTGAACAATTAATAATCTACTACAACTACTACTATATTA